TGAGCAACGATCTGTTCTTGCTGAGCAGCGATCTGAGTCATAACTTCTTCCCGATGTGTTGATATCTGAGTTGATACTTCTTCTCGTTGGGCTGATATCTGGGAGGCGATCTGATCTTGCTGAGCAGAAATACGTGTCGGCACCTCTTCTCGCTGAGCGGTCATCTGAGCTAATACCTCGTCTCGTTGGGCTGAGATTTGAAAGGCTATTTGATCTTGCTGAGCTGAGATTTTCTCCTGCTGAGCACGCATCTGATCCGCTATCTCCTGTCGCTGAGCCGCTATGTCCTGTCGCTGAGCCGCTATCTGTTTCGTGATCTTCTCTTGCTGAGCCACCATCTGGTCCGTGATCTTCTCCTGCTGAGCCACCATCTGGTCCGTGATCTTCTCCTGCTGAGCCACCATCTGGTCCGCAATGTCCTGTCGCTGAGCCACCATCTGGTCCGCAATGTCCTGTCGCTGAGCCGCTATCTGTTCCGAGATACCAGCCAACATCGATTCCGCTGAAGCTGGTTCCTCGAAGATGAACGTCTCTGGATCTTGACCTACGCTCACCATATACTCTATGAGACGATGCTGAAGTGTAGCCTTGATCCCTGTTGTGTCGAGATCTCTCTCCTCCAACTCGCGTTCCAAGTCCACCACTTTCAACTCGTGTAGTTTCTTCATTACAACGGTCTGTTCACTTCACACTGGAAAATCCCACACTTCTGACACCAATTGTTACGTTATTCGAGTGCAGAAGCGAACACGACACTATTTATTTTCCAACTGATTCATTTGAACTAAAGAAACACTAATTTATATCGAACTTATAACTACTATTTATGTAAAACAATTTATAACACGCGGTATATAACTGTCTCTCTGACACTCGCTGTTCGACTGACTGACTCAGTTGTTCGGCCGTTTTATATATATGAGAACACAGGCAGGCTTTGGTTCGAGAACCTTCTCGAAATGAGAACAAATTAGAACAAACCTCTCTCTCCAATTGTTCCATCGATTGTTTCCAGAACATTCCAGAATCTTCTGTGACGTTCTTTGTCACTGCGGCATATATTGAGTGTTCGGAAATATGTTTGGTGTATGTAGGAATCATTGAGAGGTTGTAGAGCAATCTGGGATGCGTGATACAGGATGATCGTTGTACTCCTGCCTTCCTGCTGATGTTTCTAAAGCGCCTCCAAGGGAAATATCATTACAGTATAATAATTTTAAACTATTAACTGACATATCCTTTGTGTTTCTCATAACAAATCCAAGATTTCTATAGCCAATAGTAGCTACTTTCAAAATATGTTGTTTAAAGGTCATTTTATTATCAATCAAAATGCCTAAGTCTTTGATTTCAGCGACGCGAAGCAACGATTCATCTTTTATTTTATAATCAAATGTAAGTGGAGAGTTGGATCTAGAGAATGTTATGCAGAAACACTTGTTGACGTTCAGACACAGTGCATTAAGATCAGCCCAATTACAAAAATTGTCAATGTCATTCTGAAGCTCATTGCAATGATTGATATTTGATATTGTTTTGTAGATTTTTACATCGTCAGCAAACACCAAATATTTTGAATTTTGTAACACTTCATTTAAATCATTGACAAACAGGCTGAACAGAATTGGACCACAATGGGAACCTTGAGGAACACCAGAAGAAACCTCAATAGCATTTGAAATGAAGTTATCAATTCTAACACATTGAACTCTTTCAATCAGAAAGCTATTTATCCATGTTAGGGCTTGACTGCCAATTCCAAGTGTTTTCAACTTAGCAATTAATAATGTGTGTTCAACTCTATCAAACGCTTTTGTGAAATCAGTGTATACACTATCAACCTGAACACGATTTTCAAATGCATTTAAAATATTAGATTGATATATCATCAAATTTGTGACTGTCGATCTTCCCGAGTGGAAGCCATGCTGTTCTGGAATAATGATATGTCTAGAGGACCACTTTAGCTGTACGGAGATGAGTTTATCAAACAATTTGGGTATCTCAGATCGGATTGCAACACCCCGATAATTTGAAATATTTTCTTTATCTCCAGTTTTGTATATTGGTGTTCGGAGAAATGGACAGACTGGGGACAACTTTCTTTGAAAAGAAAGAAATACCAAAAAACATGAAAACAACAGTAGTCAAGAAGATGATACACCCAACAAATGATGTACAGCAGCGAGACATGGACTCTAACAGAAAAACATAAATCACGGATAAATGCAATGGAGATGAGATTTCCGAGAAAAATAGGAAACAAAACAAGAAGAGACAGAATTAGAAATCAAACATTCAGACAAAATCTACAGATTGAACCAATAAACGATAGAATAATAGAAGGACAGCTAAGATTATTTGGCCATGTGTGTCGAATGTCAACAGACTAAGGCCCTCCGCACACGGGTCGATCGGCGACATGGGCGACGCGATTCGAATCGTACGACGGTCTCCCCTCTACTCGACTTCCTAAGCAAAGCATCTGGATCCCGCACACGAGTCGTTTAGTGGTCGTCTAGAAACGTACGATTTCAGATCTCCTCGTTTTCAGTATCACGCGATTAGCAAGGAAGCAGTTTGATCGAGTGAATCTTGCGTCTCAATGGCGAAAGTTGTTGAATAATTTTTCAATCATTGTGAATATTTGTGTCACCTACTTTAGTTCTTTACTTTCAGTAACTAGAACATATAAACTTATGTTTCCAATTTGTACTCTCAGCTTTAGGAACTGTTTGATTTTTTGATATACCGGGTGGCTACGGAAGTATTGCCTACGGAATATCTCAGTTATTGTATGAAGTAGGTTTGTGAAATTTGAAGCGTCGATATAATGACATAAGAGCTAGAATTTGAGCATATTGACATGTCGAAGTTAACTTCCGGTCTGACCGGAAGTAACAGCAACTTTCTTATTTTAAATGGAAACCCTATTTTCTTTTCTTTTCGCTTTATTCAGCATTCAATTCCCTTTCCAATGACATATCACAAGTTGGTATCTAACCAGAAACTAGATCAGAAAAAAATTATTATTGAAATTCACCGACTAGGCCGTAGAAGCAAAATGAAAGCCAAAAATTGAAAAGTTGCTATGGAAACCATACGTCACTTGATAACAGTTGCTACTACTGTGATATTTTATTTTCATTCGTCGGCGTTATAAAAAGCCGCCAAAAAAAATATTGGAAAATTTGGGAAAAAAACAATACTCTATAGGTCCATAACTTAAATAGGAACATACAACTTTTTCTTGCCAGTACTATTCAGCATAACCATTCCTGTCAATTTTTGGCTTTCACTTTGCTTCCACGGCCTACTCGGGTAATTTCGATAATAATTTTTTTCTGATCTAGTTTCTGATTAGACACCAACTTGTGATATGTCATTAGAAAGGGAATTGAATGCTGAATAAAGCGAGAAGAAAAAAAAATAGGGTATCCATTCAAAATAAGAAAGTTGACGTTACTTCCGGTCAGACCGGAAGTCAACTTCGACATGTCAATATGCTCAAATACTAGCTCTTTTTTCATTATATCGACGCTCCAAATTTCACAAACTTACTTCATACAATAACTGAGATATTCCGTAGGCAATACTTCCGTAGCCACCCGGTATATGAATCTTACATCAATGTTATTAGTATGTGTTCTTCTGCGCTGACACATTCCCTCATATTTGAATCCATATAATTTATGGCTGGAGCAAGAGTTTCCACTAAATCAATATATGATTCCTTCGACATTCTATAAAATGTCAGAAATTTTGTGTCACTCTCTTGCATTTCATTTGCAGTAACGAAAAGTCGAGTGTGAAAATTTCGTGCAATGTGCGGATGCACCCATAAACTTCGTTGTCTTCTTCTTCTCCTGATCTGCCGGTGCCACAAAAAGATGAATATGTCCTCCTCGCCATTGGAACTGCTCATTTTTAGCGAAACATTTATTTTTGAAGTAGCAAAAAATAGAGTAGCTAAGTTGATCAGACGCTAGTCGACTACACGAAACGTCGACCCATATGCGGATGACACACACTCCCGTCTCTTAAATCGTACGAATGCAGAAATTGTGACGTCATTGCAATCGCGTCGCCCATGTCGCCGATCGACCCGTGTGCGGAGGTCCTAAGGAAAAGGGTATACGAAGCGCGAGTGCAGGGAAAAAAACAGTAAGGGAAGACCCAGAAGAAGATGGAATCAGAGAGGGAGCTGAAAGAAAAGACATAATATGGAAAGAAATTAAGGAACTGAAACAATATAGGAAAACATGTAGAGATATGTGGAGGAGAAAGCCACAACTCGATACGCCTGACACCTAACGGTATAAAGGCATAGGATTGAGTAAGTAAGTCCTAGTTGAATTGTTAATTAACTTTATTGTATGAAGAACCCGGGAGGATAATTTCATGCATCATTTATTAACATCAAAATATACACAAAAGAATTCGCTCCAGATGGCAGACTGGGTGAAATCACATCTGATAATCTGTCACTACCTGCCGGTCTAATACTGTTACTGTAACGAGACTATCATTTGCGAAATGGACGGAAATAGATTCACGCACTGTTCTCGGAAGGCCCGCATAGCCCCGGGTTGCTTACGCCAAAGATCAAAGCCACCATCATATTTCATTCTTTCAAAAATGTGCAAGGGCATGCCATTTGAAAAATATATCATTTTGAAGTTATACTTTTTTGGGACCACCTGTATAATCGAAAATATTTTTCTGATATGCACCGTATGAGACATATGAACTCAACAAAATGAGAAAATACCACTAATACTAATAAATGAGTTATAGAAGACGGCGGGCAAGATGCAGGACCCTGTATACTTTTTTCCTCTTGAGGTACAAGATGGCACATCTACAGGTTAAAAACTATACCCTTACTAAAAACAATATTAATCTTTGGTTCAAGTGGAGTGTGGTGATGAAAGAAGTAGAAAAAAAAATTAAACAAATTCAATAAGGAAGCAGAAAAAAAAAACTAACCGGACACTCACCTTCGCAAAACAATCGGAGTTCATCAGATGAATCAGCCCGGACATAATAGGATCTTCCGGATTATCAGGCATTTGCAGACGATGTAAGGATATAACAGCTTGTTGTCTTATGGTACTTTTAGGATCCTGAAAACGATTAAATTATAGTCTATATAACACATAACGTAAACAATTAGTTCAAAATATGAATATTCTCAAAAATTCCGATTCTGGAACACTTGTTCCATGTTGTAGAGATATTAGAGAGTTGAAGTAATCACTGTACGTAGACCTCCAAGTAGACGTTAACATACGAAAAAATAACGTTTTTTCTGTGACGGGAAAAAAGTTTGGCATTTCATCTCTGTTAGCAGGTAGCTAAAATCTAATATTTTTCCCGTGTATAATACACTATTTTTTTCTGTGACAGAAAAAAGGACGAATCAATATTGAGAAGACATTACATTATTTTGAAATCTGAAAATTCACGACGTGAAATTTTATGTTTTTAACAGCAGGGACACCTGCGTTGTAGGCATTTTTATCATTCTTTTGAAGTAATCAAATATCTGATGTCACTTCTGTCAGTCTAATCCTGTGATTCGATTTCAAAAAATTGCCAATTTAGTGGTTGTTTAGTAATATACGTAATCGCGAAGTCGAATGGAATAAGATAAAAGGACTTGCAGTTCCTTCTCGGAAACGGTATATTGACTTATTTTTCGGAACTATAGCACAACAAGAGCCATCAACAGTGTATATAAATATGTGATATATATCCGGGAAATAAGTACTCACTTTTTGCCCACGGGAAAAAAGTAATTTATGAAAAGTGACATTTTATAACCTGCCAATAGAGATGAAATGCCAAACTTTTTTCCCGTCACAGAAAAAACAACTTGTTTGGGTATACAGTCTGTCCAAGATAAGGTTGAACAGCATGGGGATCTCGAAATCGGTAGGAGATACGAAGTCAGTTAAATGGGGAAAAAGTTGCGCATTCGGAAGATCATATCAAGAGCCTTCGAAAATTTTTAAAATTATTTCTAGTTTTCGAGTTATATCGGAAAAAGTTAATTTTTGGAATATCTTTTTTTTTTTTTCTCCGTTATTATTAGAGATCCAGAAAAACTGAAAATACTTTTTCATAGCAACTTTTGATGACGTTTAACGTGGTGATACCAATTTTTTTTATGCGACGTTTCGTATTCGTAGAACCATCATCAACTTTTGTATTTTAAATACGGTCCTGATAATTTTTTCACAGATTCTGAAAGGTTTTTTCATTCTGAATTCAACCATGTATTATACAAGGTGGTTTATTTGTGTTTCGACCTATTTTTAGTCATCATCAATGTTTTTTCGAAATTCCAGAGGAAAAATGCCATCAGTTCCACTTATTTTGAAGGAAAATTAGTCAACACAGTAATGCTTAATCAACTGGTTTCAATCAACAACCCATTTCATTTTGCGGAAACAAAATTTCCATCCATATACAAATTCAGAATATGTCAAGCGCAAAAACCAGGCGATGACGAAAGGCGCAGGACATTCTGTGAGTGGTATACCAGTAAATGTCAAAATTTTGCAGATTTCCCTCGAACAATCATCTGGACTGATGAAAGCATGGTCACTAATCATGGTATCTTCGATAGAAAAAATACACATTATTGTTCACGAGAAAATAAACATTTATACATTACAGCGAGACACCAACACCGTTTCGGCTTTAATATGTAGGTTGCAATATTTGCTACACGAATTATTGGTCCTTTTATTCACCATGAAACACAGACTTACGAACGTTATAGAAATTTTCTTGTGAATCATCTTGAGGAAGCTCTGGATGATTTACCGATTGCGGAAGATCAGAACTGTTGGTTTCAACAAGATGGCGCTCCGGTACATAATTCCAGAGAAGTCCGTGCGTTTTTATCCAGAATAATGGATTGGTACTCATTCTACGGTCCCTTGGCCGGCGCGGTCGCCTGATTTGACACAGTTGGATTTTTCCTTAGGGGATGTATCAAAAACTTTGTATACGCAAATAACTTTGATGATGAAGAAGAATTTAGGGACAGTGACATCGAAGCATTCAATAGAATAACCCCAGAAATGCTTAGTAATGTCTTAGAAGCAACTGTGAGAAGAGGATATCCTTGTTCAGAAAATAATGGTTAACATTTTGAACATTTGTTAAGTTGTTAATGTAATTCGTGTAAGAATTCATCAACAATTTTAAGCGCTGCATTGAATGTTGTAGTGAAATATTTCTCATTTACTTCCCAGTATTGAATAACTAATCCATCAATGTTTGACACTAAATGATCAGTAATAAGTGAACTGATGGCACTTTTCCTTTGGAAGTTCGAAAAAACATTGATGATGGATAGAAATAGGTCGAAACACATTCGAATGACCTTGTATCATACATGGTTGAATTCAGAATAAAAAAACCTTTCAGAATCTGTGAAAAAATTATCAGGACCGTATTTAAAAAACAAAAGTTGATGATGGTTCTACGGATACGAAACGTCGCATACCGAATTCGGTTTCACCACGTTAAACGTCATCAAAAGTTGCTATAAAAAAGTATTTTCAGTTTTTCTGTATCTCTAATAATAACAGAGAAGAAAAATAAAATAGATATTCCAAAAATTCACTTTTTTCGATATAACTCAAAAACTAGAAATAATTTTAAAAATGTTCGAAGGCTCTTGATATGAGCCTCCGAATGCGCAACTTTTTCCCCATTTAAACGACTTCGTATCTCCTACCGTTTCCGAGATCCCCATGCTGTTCAACCTTAACTTGGATATAAATAACTATTATGTAATGTTGTCATTACTAACGTCATTGAAGGTTGGGACGTGTCACATTACACACCTCTACTTCCCATCCCTCACTTCCCGCCCCTCACTACTTCCCGCCCTCACTCATGTAAAACTGTCAACAAAATTGCTCCTGTCAAAACATACTCTTTCCACCAAAACAGTCTCCCTTGGTTTGACAGTGATCTTAAAGATCTAACTAAACAAAGAGATGAAGCATATCAGTTATATAGACACAACAGGTATGAAAATGATTGGGATAGGTACAAAAGACTAAGAAACGATGTAGTTAGTTTACTTAAAATAAAAAAACAAGAATATTATTATAACAAAATTAATTTGAGTTCAAAGAATCAGAAACTTATGTGGAAAACCATCAAATCATTAATAGATACAAAAACAAATACCAGTGTTATAAACAATATAGAATTTGAAACGGAAGGTCAAGTAAAAGTTCTTGTAAATGTAACTGAAATAGCATAATGAATATTTTGAATCAAGTTTAGAAGATATTGTTAACTCAATTAATGCTACTGAAGAATGGCAAAATGAAATCGTAGTTCAGTGTAATTTCGAATTGTTTAACCAACTTGAATTAAAAGATTTTACTCGAATTGTTAATAACTTGGAAAACAAATCAGGAGCTGAAATTGTTGATATCAAGTTTATAAAAAACACCATAGGGGTGATAGGCCATGTTTTGCTACACCTCATTAATATTTCACTTCAATATGGTCAATTTCCTGATGAACTAAAAACTAGCATAGTCATACCAATACACAAAGTTAAAAACACATGTAAAGCTAGTGAATTCCGACCAATAAACACCTTGTCAGGCATTGAGAAAATACTAGAAATGGCTGTGTATGATCAGCTTTTGAACTATGTTGAATGCAATAATCTTCTAATGACCAATCAATCAGGTTTCCGTAAGGATCTCTCTTGCGAATCGGCCTTACAACTGATTATAAGTAAATGGACCCAATCTATCGACAATGGAGACTATGTTATTGCTGTTTTTTTGGACGTAAGACGGGCTTTCGAAACAATTGATCGTGGTATACTACTTAAAAAAATGGAAGCTATCGGAATTAAAGGCAATGTACTAAAATGGTTTAAGGACTACTTGAGTGACTGGAAACAAACCACCAAAGTGGATAATTGTTATTCAAATCCTATTGTCACAAAATATGGTGTACCTCAGGGTAGCGTGTTAGGCCCTTTGCTATTTTTAATTTACATTAATAATATCGGCTTATGTCACAGCTGTGATTTTATAAATTTATTTGCTGATGATACACTGTTGTCTGTAGGTCTCATAAGAATTTAGATGTAGCTCTAACAAAAATGAATGATTGTTTAGAAAAAATATACAATTACTTGAACATCAATAAATTGAAGTTAAATGCATCCAAAACAAAAGCTATGATTCTAACTATACCGTACAAATTCAAACAACTTCATATAAATCCCTGCGTATTGGAAATCAATAACGAAAAAATTGAACTAATATAATAATAATAATAATAATTTATTGCATAAGAATACATATAAATAATGAGTTACATTTAGTGAATATTTCATTGCAATAAGCGATAACCCAAAGAAACCATGAACGGTTGTATATGGGTATACAAATACTTCAATATAATAAATTATTGGTGTTTGATGAAACAGTACCAGTGACATATAATTATTGTAAACATATACATCAGTAATTTCTGCAAAAATAGAGAATCACAAAAGCATAATATAGCAAAATAGTTTAAAAATTGCGGTGAATATAAAAGTATCAAATGTATAAGTAAAAGAATGTGAAAATATAGTATGTATACATGTGAAATGTCAATATGTAGGAAAGCAAAAATTTATAAAAAGGTATGACTGAGGGAAACTTCAGCCGAGGGGAACAGGTTCAATTATTTTGTGTATTTCTTTACGGTCAGATTGCAGTATGTACGATTTGAAATATTTTTTAAACATATCCAGGCTATTCATTCTCAGAAGATAATTTTTATAAGTTTCGTGGAGTTTGTTGAAGATTACCGACGAAAGGTATGTATAACATTTTTTTGCAATTGTTTTGTTAATAGTTCTAACGGTAGCATAACTACCTACGTTTTGTCTTGTGTTGTAACAGTGTTCTGGATTTTTTAGTAGGTGCCTGTTTTTGTAAGTATATATTAATATGTTATAATAATATAGTTGTCTAAGATCTAGTACGTGACTCTCAAGAAAAACTGTATCAGATGGATATAATAGAGGCTTTTTATAAATTATTTTCAGGATTCGCTTCTGAAGGACATCTAGCTTCCG